ATCCTATATTAGGACCATGCATGCGTCGTATTCCGTCGTAATAGGAATGAGTGGAGTTTTTCTCATCAGATTCAAAATTGTTTCTTACACTCTTCTTTTCCAATCTGAGTATTGAGTGAATGCATTAAGTGAGTTCATCCTTACACAGTACTTGAGTTTAAAATCACTAGGAAATAGTTGGAAGAATAAGGGGAACGTCACTCCTTCCTTCTTTCCTTCCAATCAAAGCATCAACAACAAGAAACTATTTTTCTCAGCATGCAGCTAGAAGTAACTCATAAATAGCCATGAAGACAAAGCACGATGCAAGCTTCTTACCATGATTTCATGATTTCTTCTTTTGTTTCAAACCTTTCTCCCTAAAAAGTCTAACATAGGTTCTCCTTATCCATGTGTCTATGTGTCACATTTCTTACCTTATTCGTAAATGAGCATCTCTTTCTTACATTCGATCATGTGATTAGAAAATAATCAATTGTTAAACTAAACACAAGGTACACCAATGACTTGAGGCACCTTTTCAACCCATTCATTTCCCATTAACCATTCAATCACACATCCATTTTTTCATCAACCACTTTGAGCCTCGTCTAACGTTTGACCTTCATTTCTTCAACCCACATTCACTTAACCCTGGGATTGGAAGATGTGTAATTATATAACATTAAAAAAGCAAGTAAAAAAAAAGGGCAGAAAAGCAACAATAAAACAATGTCTAAAGGCAAGTGTTCCAATGTCTTTGATATGAACACGTCTCAAATTGCGTCTCTCATCGAGTGCTTTGTACCATGCCTGAGAAACATGAATGCTAAGTGAGTGATGGACCGCATGATCTGAGATTGCCCACATTGATTCAAAAAAAAATTCAAAACAAAAAAAAAATAAAAAAAATAAATGAAAATAAACTTGCAAAATTCAAAATTTTCAAATTCACAATTACACATCTTGGGGATTCTCTCGGGTCTTGAGCCTTATACCCTTTTCTTCTTTAAACCGTCAACTTAACCATATTACAACCCTTGAAATACCTCTTTGAGGTGTACATACATTTTTGTAAAGTTCGGTTAGAGTTACGTTCGGCCTGATTCCTAACGGATACGTAGGCAACCTCATATCGAGGTGCGGCCACATTCACATTCATATTCACATTTATATTCACATCCATGCTTGATTGAGTCAAAGAATATCCAATGCTTACCCCTACCCATTTAGAGCTAGACTTGGGGGCTTGAACCCACATCATTTAGCCTACCTAGCCTAAAGAGTCATCATCTTTGACTCTTCTCACATCTCTTTCCATCGCCATAACCCTTGCAGCCAGCCTTAGTATCAAATTCACACACTTCACTCACACATCCATATCCATATCATCCTTCTCATTAGGAACCCTTTATCATGAAATCTTGTTTCCCTACTGTGCATAATTTAAAGACAACATTCATTAGAAGAAACATTGTATACTTGCTAAGCTTCCTGACCTGAGCAATATTCATTGTTTCATGCATCGCATAATGTGCTGAGAAACATTTATATATCAATGATTTTTAATCATACAAAGCATATCGTGCTTAGCTCCTTGACCTAAGCAACGTTCATTATGCAATAATCACTTCATCTGTATACGTGCTTAACTTCCAGACCTAAGTGACGTTCAAGATCGTTTCTTTACACCATAAATGATGCTTAGCTCCATGATTTAAGTTCATTCATCGTGTCACATGATGTAATTGTCCTTAGCCTCCTGGCCTAAGAGGCTAAGGACATGCATCATGCATACATTACTTTCAAGAAAAGCAATCCAATCCATGCAATTCATTTTGTCTTGCTCAACGAGGAAGTTCAAAACTTCTTTCCTTTTTTTAGCGTCTTTTCTTTTGGGGAAGTTTAAAAAAAAAATTCAAAATTTTCTCATCGTGGGAGTTCGAAAACAAATCTTCATTTTTCACGTCTTTCTTTTTCGGGGGAAAGTCGGTACCCTCCACTCATGACAAAAATGACGGAATTTTTTTTGCTTTTGCATCTTCGTTTGCTTGTGTCTGCACACACACACACACTCAAACTATACACACACAATCACAAGTCATACACATGTCATGTCAAACTTGGTCAAGTTAGTTGGTCAAGTCAATCATAGTCTATACGAGTCCCTTGGCAAATTTTATTTTGCAGGTCTCAATTACAACCCATGTCCGGGGGCGGACCATCTACAGCCCACGTCCGGGGACAAGCGGACCATCTACAACCCACGTCCGGGGACAAGCGGACCATCTACAACCCACGTTCGGGGGCAGGCGAACCATCTACATCCCACGTTCGGGGATAATCGAACCACCATCATTTCATGACGCAAGGTTATCGATACACAGAGACTTACAATCTCATCATCTGTCGACTTTCCTCAAGCATGGAAAGTATTATCCGGTGGATTTCTTCAAGCATAGAAAGCCGCCAAATTCCTTTGTCGGCTTTCCTCAAGCATGGAAAGCATTATCGATGGATTTCTTCAAGCATAGAAAAACGCCAAAATCATATGTCGACTTTCCTCAAGCGTGGAAAGTGTCATCCGGTAGGTTTCTTCAGGCTTAGAAAGATACCAAACTCATCTATCGGCTTTCATCAAGCATGGAAAGCATTTCAACAAACATCATTCGGTGGATTCCTTCAAGCTTAGGAAGCTACAAATCTCATTTGCCACCGATACACTGGTGTTAGATAAGCATTCTATCCCTTTACTCTTTTATCAGTGGAATTAACATTTTTTGCAGGTTTCGGCGTATTCAGAGTGATTTAGGATCGCAAAACGTCTTAAATCATTCTCCGTCCCTATCGACTACTTTGACTATCGTTTTCGAAACTGACGTTTCTACAAACTCATTCAAAGTGGGGGCTTCTGTAGACACCTAAAAATGTCTCCCCAAAACCAAACTCGATGATGAACAACCTTTCAGCGCCATTATTAGTCGGGTTTAGTATTTAATCTTGGAGTGCTTAAATCCATATTCAAATCCATATTTTCATTTCATAAACCAACCTAAATTCTAGCCCATTTCCCCAAATCATAACTTATTTTCCACTTTTCGTGCCTTTAAACCCAAAATAATTCATTTCGTGTCCTTTAAAATCATTCATTTCGTGTCCATTTTATAAAAACGTTTAATCCAGTTTATTTTTGTCCATTATCTGGGTCCAATGATTGAATAATTGGATGGGGCTTTAGAAGAGCTTTCCAACGATATATTATAAGCCCAAATCCAAGTTATAATGAATAAGTTATGACCTAAATATTAAATTGAGCCCAAACCGAACCTAAGCCCACCTTACCTACGACCCAATGATCATGTGGAGGGTCCAAATGATTTAATCCAATTCCTAAACCAATTAGTATTAATTAGAAGCTTCTATAAGTTTCTAAAATATCTTTATTATCCTATTTGAAAAGATAAGATTAAAGAGTTTGAAATTGAATAAAACTCCTTTTTTTGAAAGTCCTAATTCTATCCGAATTGAAAGACATTCAAAGATAGACAAATATTATTTCGTGCCTCATATTTTTTATCTGAATTTTATACAGTTGGATAGCCCTTGAAATTATTTTTCCAATGATATATTATAATATCAATTCCGAGCTATAACGGAAAAGATATGAATAAAATGTCAAACTCTATCCAAAACAGACACCGTCTCACTATTTCGGCCATATCTTTTATTCTATAGAATATTTTAATCTGATTTCAATTGGGTTAGAAAGTGGACTTTCAGGATCTTTCCAACAATATCTTATTTATCTTATTCCAATTTCTGGATCAAAAGATATGATAAAAACAAAAACCGTAAAAACTGCAGTCTATCGAGTTTTATTCCGATTTAATTCGGATCTTATCTTGTTTTTTCGACCTCTCTTTTTTCTCTATAAATAGAGGTCATATCACCCCTTTTCCAATCATCAACAAGCTTGATCATCAAATCCTTCTCTCTTTTTCTCTTTTACACCAAAAATCATTCTCTTCTCTCTCCCATATTCTAAGCCTTAAACCTATATTCCTAATTACACCATTCTTCCCTTAAGCACTCCAATGAGTCTATACTAAATCCGAGGTTCCGTTCTTAAACCAAGGCATGAAAGGTATAAATAACTGAGGGTTTGGACCAAATAAAATCTACATTTATTTAATTTAATTTCATTTACTTTATATTTTTTATTGAAGTTACTAACAGTTTATTCATGATGTAGCAATTTAAAGGAGCGCGCGGAATGTGAGTAATTAATTAATTTAATTACTCTTATTTTATTTTTAATATTGCTAGTATCATGATTAGGTTATTTTATTATTTGATTTGGCTAACACTATTATTGTTAAATTGCTTCCAATATTAATGTTTATTCTATTATATTTTTTATTGATCACTATATTGCATGTTTAAAGGGAATATGTAATTGAAAACCACGCCTAATAAGATAATTTGGACAACCGGTTTAGGTTCCTTTCTAATCTTGTTGTTTAATTCAAGTGATCACAAATATTTTAGAATTATGTGTTGCATTAATATTCAACCAATTTAGCTTAATAATAGTTTAGAGCAAATTGAATATTTTGTTTGTATGCCTTTGAGATTGCAGGAATGCTTTTCACTATAAGAATCGAGTAGAGGCCAATACGGGCGAATGTAACTCCATGACTCACTTCGTACCATCATCCCCGATCCTCCTTTCGTGGTTCCGAACCATATGGACTTAGTAATCTCATGGATTATGAATGGGGTGTAACCTTCACGGGTCAATCGTTGTTGCCTATCGTTGTCCCTTAATCGTGGTTGCCTTTTATGATCCGTGAACGGTTTACAAGTTCCTTAAAAACTTGTTGGCGACTCCCTACTTTCCTTGTCCCTAATCGTATTATGTTAATTCCTACTTCCTATGAGTGCCAAGCATATTCACACATGCTTTTAACGTAGGCGCACTTCGAACGACGCCTACAATCGGTGTAATAAATATTTATTAATTGTCAATTCTTTTCATTTTTAGCTTCTTATATGAAGCCCTAAGGATGCATATACTAGGGCGGTAAAACTAATTTACTCTGTTTAAAAAAAAAAACAAAAAAAAAACTGGAGTGCTAAAACTAAAACACACTTTGCTTTTCACTCCATTCAATTGAATACACAATCAATAAACCAATAATCTACTTCCATCTTCTATTCTCCTTGATGCCGACTCTTCTATTGTCGCTGCCTTCAAGAGTTTCCTTCAGTTCGCCGCTTGTCAAGATCATCCGTGATCACCCTTAAAGGCGACGAGTCCCCTTCCTTCATCACTCCTCCTTTATCCTTCTGGCCACAAGTCAGGGGGTAGGCCACTGCTCCAAGGGTTTGCTCCTCCTTCGAGGGTTTGGGCGACTAGCGTCACTGTCTCACTGAAGGGAATTTCGGCCCTCATTCACGGTTATTATATCTTTCACTTTCTCTCTGATTTTTATACAATTTTTTTGAAAATATTTTTTATTTAATTTTTAATAATATTGATGACGATTATTGTTGAGCAACGAAGAAGAGGCTTGATTTTTCACTCTACTTTGATTGTTGTTGTTATTGTAGTTTAACTGAAATGGTTTTTGACTCAAATTAGGTAGTGGTGTAAAATTAGGTTTAAATTCTAATTGTTGCTGTTATAGTAGTTATCTTGCTAGATTTAGAATTTTTAATTGAAATTAGACAATTGTGCAATATTAAGTTGAAATTTGTTGCAGCACTTTTGTCAATTACTTGGAATCAACTTTGTTATTGTGGGCAGTTTCAAAAATTCAAAAGCTTTCGTCTAAAATTTGATAACATGAATCGATTGCAAAAGGAAAAGCAGAGAATGTAAAGTCTAGTTATTAATAATGAATTGAAATAGGACTAAAGCCTCATCATCTTAGAACAAACAAGATATATGCTACAGCTCTCTGAAGTCATATTTTGTACTTACCCTGGCTACTGGGTGCATTGTGTAATTTACTTGTATGTATTTTGGTCATTGCCTTTATATGTGCTTATGTAGTTGGTTTGCTGAAATTTCAGATTTGTAGCTGCTGGTGAGAAGTACTTAGAAGCATTGGTTATCCTTGAGTCATGATCAGGTCTACTTTATTGAACACCAACTTATAATTTTATTATTCAATTGTTTGCCGAGAGTGCAGTCCATGTCTAAATGATGTTATGCTTCTCTATTTAAAGGTATCTAAATGATTAGGCCTCACAATCTCACAATAAACTTATGAAGCGTTTTCTATTTGGGGATGATATTATTATTCTATTATTTTGAGAATTAGAAGCTTAGGTGCCATACTTACTACTTCTTCCTATGAGTATCTTAAAGTTTGATCAAATCTATTATATATGAAAATTCCTTCTTCCTATGAGTATCTTAAATATAATTATTCTATTGAACGTGGGAGTTTAATCAAATCTCATTAATTATACGGAGTATTATTTATGATTGATAGGTTGTATAATACTAAGTTATTAACTGATTTTAGCAGTTTATACAAAAGCCATTTGATCTAAATCGGGAGCTGCCCATTGTAGACAATCATATACATCTATGCATGGTAAACCTTTTATCATTTTGTTTTTGTACCTATTGAAATATTTGAATCTCTCCAAATAAGACTATGTGAGATTGTGAGGCCTAATCATATCTAAATGATGTTCTGCTTCTCTATTTTAAGTTTTATTTACTACTATTAATTTTGCTACTGTTTTGTTTGGGATCTAATTTCTTCTTAGACAAACTAGCTTTGAGTCCATCTCACTTGCTGAGTGAATTTTCGGAACACTATCAACGGAGAGTAAGCTCGGAAGCTTTAGCTCCAAATCCACATTTGTTTCATTATTATCTAGAAGTTTTGAAGCTTTAACTCTCAAGAGTATTGCATATGAGCTGTTAGTATGATTGTCTTTATTAATTTCTACTCCCCTCTAGGTTTCTATGTGTATTTTACCTCCACACTACAGGGCCGAAATACAAATTAATTAGAGCAGGCCTTACAAGTGTTGAAATCATAGGTATCATCAAAGAAGTTGTGAATCTGATAATGTTTAACTGGACCTACAAGGTTACTTTTTTGTATTCCATCTCCATCATATCTTTTCTCACTAGAGTAGCTCCTAGTTTCTCATATAATGTATTTTCATTAATCTTTTGACTATCTTGAGTTTGTTGTACAATTAGGAAGTGCTGACTCTGTTCTTCTTTGGTTCTCAAATTTAAAATTACAAACTGGGCATAGACTAGTGAACCACCTAATACAAAACCGCTTACATGGTAACCCTCATTCCATGTATGCTAGCTCTTGTTATCATCAAAAGTTACATGCTTTCATCCTCATAGCTTGAAAAGTTACATGCTTACTAGCTCTACCTTTTGTTGTGTTTTTGCTGTTAATTTTTTCTTATGTTTCGATAAATTTGTGAGTTTTGGTGTAATTTTTCTAGGTTAATATATCTGTGTATATTGTATGTAGTTTTGAGCTGAAATTAGGTGGTTTTTGTTAAATTTTCAGGGTTTTAATGTTTTTAGGGCTGCTTTTTTCTTAGCATTTTCTTGGTGTTTTTCTCTGAAATATCCTGTACTACAACAGAATTGTGCTCGGTTTCAAAGTGCTCGGTTTCACAGTGCTCAATATACTCTAATGTTCTATCTATTTTTTATAACAAAATTTTAGGAATACAGATTAAAATGCATGATTTGTGTATTTCTTTTCAATATGTAGCATTAGTTTTGGCTCTTATAATTGTGTAGTCAATGCTAGTCCGACCAGTCTGCTTTGGACTTTCTTTCTTAGTGTACTATATGCTCACATTGGCTCATACTTATTTTCGTATATGTAGATTTCCTTCTTCTAAAATTTTATTAAGCTAAATTTTAGACTCATAACGACAGATTTGGTCGGAGAAAGCCTAGTGTTTTAGACGCTCCAGAGCTTGACACTCTTGTAGTTAGACGCTGTTGCAGCTACCGCTTTTCTGATTGTTGGTGTTCCAATTATAGTGTATTCCAATGGACTAATTGTATTTTTTGGGGATGAAAACTTGAAAAGGGTAAAATTACAGGTTATTAATGAAAATATCTAAGTTTTTTGTATATATATGTTTTGTATCTGTGGATTAAATTGCGTGAAAAAAATTGCAAATTACAATATATTAGCCACTATAGTATATGTGACAAACAAGCTTATTTGCAACCGTAATATTTGTGGCAAACAAGCTTATTAGCCACAATAAATTGTGTGTCAATAATGTCTATTAGCCACGGTTGAATTTGTGGCAAATAATTTGTTAGCCACATTAATACTCGTGGAAAGTGAATTTGTTTGCCACGTTGATTCCCATTGCACAAAAATTAAAATTTGCCACGACATCAATTTTCCCGTGGCAAATTTCTAGTCACGGCCTCTTGAGCCATGGGAATTAATTTTAAAATTCCCGTGGCTAAATTACATAGCAACGGGAATTTTAAACTTAGTGCCACAATTTTACTCGTGGCACAAAGGTCAATTTGTTGTAGTGTTAAAGTCACTTTTGCATCAAAATCACTATACAAACCATTAACTGTCTTACTGACCTCGTTTTTCCTTTTGCTACATCTTAAGCACACTCTGGTGGAGGACAAATTTGAACCAAGTGTGGAGAATGACCCTTTCACCATAGCTTCGGAAGGCTATACCATCCAGGACGAGTAGTAGGTTCGGGAGTTTCATTGCTTGGATGGAAAAAGGTGATGGGTTCAGAATACATGAAATCGGGTAGATCTCGAGCCAGTGTTAGGGTATATTGGCAAAATACAGCTGTGAAGGTAGTTGTAGCTGTGGAGATAGTTGTGAGCTGTGTATGTAGCTGTTAGCTGTCAACAAGTTGTTAGCTATGAAGATAAATAATTTAGATATGAGGGTTTGATAAAGTAGCGGTTGACTAGCTGTTACATATAAAAATCAACATTTTATTTTTAAAACTATAGATTAAATTTTCAACAGCTACCTCAAAAGCTACCTCTAATTTCAAAAGCTAATCTTTCTAACTTTTCATAAAAGCTACCTCCACAACTAAAAGCTACCCTAACCACTACTTTGCCAAACACTTACATTTTTTGTTAAGTAGTGATTTGACTTGGTCAAACCACTAAAAGCTGCCTAAAAGCTACTCAAAAGCTAGTGCCGAACACGCCCTTAACTCATCGGGGGAGTTGGATTGCAAGGTGGCATCAATTAAGGAACAAGTACGCAACGAGTTAGTAGGTAAATTCAATGCTTGGGCGAAGCAAATGAACTTACCGACTTTGCCGTTCCTCGCGAGTACACCAGTCGACTCATGTTCTCAACCAAAAGGACATGGAGGTGATGAGATACGCGGTGAAGATGTGTCACCTCAGGTAAAATCAATTGGGTTATTAAGAGTTTTATTAAAAGTTTTAAAATACTGAGTTAATTGAGCTGAGGTGGCATGACTGATGTACTGTTGCAGGTTCTTACTCCTACACATGCGGACTCGAGGGAGCTTGATAATCCAACACCGCATGAATATCCAGGTGATTTGTAACCCTCTACCTTAATGAATTTTGTTATATTATATATGCTGTAGTAAAAGACCTATATAACTATCTTCGTTTTATATATACTTGTGTAGGAAGACACCCAGTGTGCACTTCTAGCCCCGGGGCATGCAAATAATATGGAGTTGAGTTTCGTGGCGTATGGTAGTGCCCAAGCGACGACCGGTGCTACGGCGGGGCCGCTTCATTACTCGATTGGGATCGATTCGGTGGTTGAGGGGTTCGAAGACATCCCACTGCCCGTACCGATAGAGGAGGTTGAGATAACAAAGCTTTGGCAAGCTATATGCAGCTTCGTTGAATGGCCACGTGCGTGGGTCAAGTTGATTAATAAGGAGGTAAATTATTTATTTCTCAATTTTTTTAGTGTTAAATAACCGTTAGGCACTCTGAAAATAAAACCGCTGAAATATCACGACTCCCCAGCCCCCACCTCCAATGCCGAGGCAGCGGCGGCCTTGGCTGGTGCTCCTTGCGCTTCTCCGGCCTCCGCAACGGCTGCCAGGAAACTTAGACCTTAGGAGCCGCTGCCGGGACTGCTCCGGCATCAGAATTACGCAGCCCTGACAGCCTGCTGCCTTGGCTGCAGCAGCCCTAGCAGCGGATGCCTGGGTGCAGCAGCCCCAGCAGCGGCTTCCTTGGCTGCAGCAGCAAGGCAGCAGGCTGTCAGGGTTGCAGCAGCAAGGCAGCAGGCTGTCAGGGCTGCTGCAGCCTCGGCAGCCCCTACCTAGGGTGCAGCAGCCCAGGCAGGCTGTTGCCGAGTGAGAAATAACAAGTTCATAAGTTGAATAATGAAGAAAATAGGCATGCAAAAAGCCATTCCGCCGAGTGAGTTGAGAAAAGCATTGATCGACCTAAGAAGAAGCTAAGTGAACAAAGGTCCAAGAGTGAACAAGCGTCGAAGTTGCACTCTTCGAAAGGTTCACCCATGCAACCTACTCCACTAGTTGAAGACATTGTTCTTCAAACGCTCTCTGATGACATGACCTTTCTTCACAACCGTGCTTGTCATTTGGTTGATCCCATGGAAGTTGCACTTCCTAAGGCAATGTTCCACTATGATGAGGATGCAGTTGCATGGATCAACAAAGAAGATGTGAAGGAATTTCTACGTGGTGCAAAGCTTAACATTTCCCTCATTCAAACATTCATGAGGTACTTCAATGCCCACATAATCTACACTTTTTTCAAGTTATTCAAATTTATGGTGATTATCCTATATGTGATTAATTATTCAATGTTCATGCACGCAGAGCACTACAGGAGCACTTAACTGAAATTGATTCTCCTTGTAAAGTTGGGTGATTAGGCCCCGAGCAGTTATCCACTACTAGAATCATAGGCAACCCCCATGACGTGTTGTACTATGTTGAGCAAAGTATCAGGGAATCAGCGCGCGCGGAAGACAAGTTCATATTCGACCCATGTTATAAAGAGTAAGTCTAACCATGTCAAATTCAATCGATTTGACCTCATTATATGTTGACTTCTAAATATTAATTTGCTTGTATATTGTGAACTTATGTAGGGAGCATTGGAGCCTCATGCTGATTTGTAATTCGAATAACACAATTTATCACCTTGATTTAGCTCGACCATCGGAGAAGTGGCTCGTGAAGTCTATATTGCAAAAGTAAATATATATAGCTACCTAGTTAGTGATGATTATTGCTAATAATAAATAAATTAGTAGTCATACGACTAATCAAATTTGAATGTACTTTATTTACTACAGTCTTATGAAGAAGCTACATTGTCGTGCTCCAAAGGGTCCAACATGGAAGTCTCTGTTGGTAATTTACATGATATTGTGATTATCTTCAAAATCTATGTTAGTAAATTTTTGCTAATTTCCTTTGCATGTTTCACTGATGTGATTTGTTTGTCATATGCTAGTGCGCACAACAAGAAAATGGACTTGATTGTGCTTTGTATGTGATGAGATTCATGCTTAACATTGTGACTCATTGTACGGGTACTCAACAGCTTGATGAGGTAAGTCCTAAAACTTAATGAAATTTTATATTGATGTGATTTCTAGCCTTAGACACCTAATATTACCTAACATTGACATGTTATGAGAAATAAAAAGGTCATTTGACAAGAAAGGTCGAAAATGGGCTGAATAGAAGTCATATAGGCCATATTTGGGCAATTTTGTGTTAATATGCTCTTTTGATGTGATTTATTTTCTTATACACCTATAACTAGATAATATTGACATTGACATTTTATGAGAAACAAATAGTTCATTTGATAAGTAATGTAGGAAATGGGCTACATAGAAATCATATAGGCCATATTTGGGCCATTTTGAGTAAAATGCGTTGTTAAACTTAATAAAATTCTATATGGAAGTGATTTTTAGCCTTAGACACCTAATATTACCCAACATTTACATGACATGAGAATTAAAAAGGTGATTTGACAAGAAAGGTAGAAAAATGGGCTGAATAGAAGTCATATGGGCCATATTTGGGCCATTTTGTGTTAATATGCTCTTTTGATGTGATTTCTTTTCTTATACACCTATAACTAGATAATATTGACATGTTATGAGATAAATAAAGTTCATTTAATAAGAAATGTAGGAAATGGGCAAAGTAAAGTCATATAGGCCGTATTCGGGCCATTTTGAGTAAAAAGCGTCTTAAACCTTAATAAAATGCTCTTTTGATTCAATTTTGGGGCTTAGACACATAAAACTAGGTGTCATTGACATGTTATGAGAAATAAATAGTTCATATGATAAGTAATGTAGGAAATGGGCTACATAGAAGCCGTAAAGGCCATATTTGGGTCATTTTGAGTAAAATGCGTTGTTAAACTTAATGAAATGCTATATTGATGTTATTTTTAGCCTTAGACACCTAATATTACCCAACATTGACATGTTATGAGAATAAAAAAGGTGATTTGACAAGAAAGGTAGAAAATGGGCTGAATAGAAGTCATATGGGCCATATTTGGGCCATTTTATGTTAATATGCTCTTTTGAATGTGATTTATTTCCTTATACACCTATAACTAGATAATATTGACATGTTATGAGACAAATAAAGTTCATTTAATAAGAAATGTAGGAAATGGGCAAATTAAAGTCATATATGCCATATTTGGGCCATTTTGAGTAAAAAGCGTCTTAAACCTTAATAAAATGCTCTTTTGATTCAATTTTAGGGTTTAGACACATAAAACTAGGTGTCATTGACATGTTATGAGAAATAAATAGTTCATTTGATAAGAAATGTAGGAAATGGGCTAAATAGAAGTCATATAGGTCATATTTGATAAAATACATATTGTTTTGCCTAATTAATTAATTCTAACATAATTTTTTTTGTATTTCAAGTATTTCAAGGTCCAAAAGGATAGTCCGTTGACAATCAAGGAGCCTAATGAAGTTTTTGACATGTTGGCGTCTTTTATCACCTTCAACATGTAAATGACATTTTAATTGTAAATTTATGTTAACTTTTGAACTATATTATTATTCATTATATATTTACTTACTATCATTTGTATATATATATATAAAATACTTTTTTTATTGTATTGCATTTGGGAATATTTATATCTATATATATATATATGAATTCTTGTTTTTAATATTAATTTTGTATCTTATTATAATATTTAATAATAATATTATTATTAGTAATTATAATAATAATATTATTAATTATTTTATTTAATATTATTGCTGGAATTACAGGTTATTATTATTGCTGGAAAAAGGGTTTTTTGTTTTTTAAATATTATTGCACGAAAAATGGAAAAAAAAAATATTGAGTAAAAAGGCACCGGTTGACCGGTGCCAAAACTAGCTACCACAAAAAAAAAACGCGGGAGACTATTTTAGGCACCAGTTAACCGGTGGCCAAAATAGTTAAAGGCAACGGTTAACCGGTGCCAAAACATGTTTAGGGCTTCGGTTTTGAACCGGTGCTAAAAGGGGGGGTAATTGGCACCCCCACATAGAAATCGGTTCAAACCGGTGCCTTAGACCGGGTTTGAACCGCTGCCAAATGCTATTTTTCTACTAGTACTTCAATGAAGATATTGTTCGGACGAGTCAATTTGTTGTTTGAGAAATCAAAACTGACTCGTCCAGTGGGCGCGCGTAAGTTACTTAGTTGCGATCGGCTGTCACGCGCAATAAAATAACTTGCGCTGGGAGGGGTCACGCAACTTCTTGAGTTGCGCGCGCCACCTGCTCATAATATTTTTTTTTAATCCGAGCGCTTTTTTTATTCGTTTTTTTTCTACTTGACTCTTTTTTATTTATTATTTATTTTTTTTATGTTATCCTTTGAATATGACGCTAGATCACGAAGAGACAACTTTGTAATTCGGAACCTAGACCAAACTAAATAAAAAAAAATAGACTATCCTAACACGTTGCACATAGTAACATAATCACATAAGAATGTCATAAGTCAAGATTCACGCAATGCCATTCTAAGGTCAAAAAAAGCTTGGGTGTCCAAAGGTACCATACCTTAAGAAACAACGCATAAATCAATTACTCAACATGTTGACCTATGACATCGCCCTCCCAACATTTTGTTGGTGATATGGGTGGGATGATTGTTATTTATTTTGGGATAGACTCGTAGTGTTGGCGACCAATGGTTTAAGTGTGTTATGCTTATGTATGATGAAATGTTACTTGTTTGGTTTTTACTCTTGTGCAAAAGGAAGATATTATGCGTTCATGTCTCGTTCTCTAACTAGAGATTATCCAAGTTAATTCTCGTTACAACCCATAGGCAACCTAGTGTTGGATACGTTGGACCATAACTACGAATTAATCATGTAACCTCTAAGTCCCCAGCAGAGTCGCCACTGTAAGGAGGGTGATCCCATCGTAAGGGGTACTCTCTTAAATGCCCTTTGCCACTTAAAATCCTAGGACTTTACACTTGTTAGGGTGTAGTAGGATTTCAATTCCTGACTGTTTGGGGGGACTTGAATTAGAATTGATTCTATCATCACGCTTTTTTCTAAGAAATAAGTAGGAGTCGCCAATGAGTTTTAGGAAAAACTCATAAACCTCGTTCATGCCTTTCTTCCATGTGGAATTCATGGAATAATTAGCACAAATCATAAGTTTACCCATGCCCAAATTGGTCTATATACCAGAAATAAGTTCGGGAGCGAGGGTACTAAGATAACGTTTCTTTTAGAGGGGAATCGTCATCATAGCCCTAATACGGCGTCTACTAGCTCTTCCTTTTTTTTACAATTTCATCACCAAACAATATATGCAACGCGATACCTAAAACTATGTTAGTTGATTTTATTTAGAAACATTAATTCACGTAGGAATTACATTGCAAAAGTTGCTATTCTTATTTAATAATATTCGTGAAAGAACAATAAATAAACAAGATTCGCCTTGGCTTAACTGATCAACCAACAATTATTTAATTCAATTCTAGTCTTTATTTAACGCAAGATACTATGAGGAATTGATTAATTAATTATTTTAAAAGTGATCAAACAACACTAATTAAATAATTAAAGTCCTTTTAAACAAGAAAGTAAAGGTGATTTAACTAAGTGCTCGGGAATTTTACCACTTCTCTTTGCTAGATATCCGTTTAGAAGACTTATGGAAACCTTCTTCTTGGGGAACCTCCACCATAGTAACAAAGCATCGAAAGGGTGAATGTTTAGGAAAAGAGGACTAGGTTGCACAAGTACAAGTTATTTCGCCAGAGTTTTAGGTTAATTTATGTCTGTTGAAGCCTCGGTTTAAGCTCGTATTTATAGGGAATGATTAGGTTAAGGGTTTTGAGCAACCTGCCGCAGCAGGTGTCGCGCGCAACAAATGAAGTTGCGCGCGGCATCCCAGCACAAGTTATAGAGTTGCGCTGCTATGTGCAGCGCAACTATTTGTCTTGCGCGCGGCTTTATGGTAAGATTTGATTCTGAATCTTTCGAAGCGCAACTCTGAAAGTTGCGTTGGATGTTGCGCACAACTGAAATAGTTGCACGCGGCAGCCTTGCACGACTTTATGAGATGCGCGCGGCTTTCTCTGCAGCAACACTAAGTTTTAACCTAGGCGCTCCTAAATCCGTCAA